ATTTATATTGCCAGATTAATTTCTGTCTGGATTTCTGGAATGATGAGTTACCGTTATTTATATTGCGAGATCAATTTCTGTCTGGATTTCTGGATTGATGAGTTACAATTATTTATATTGCCAGATTAATTTGTGTCTGGATTTCTGGAATGATGAGTTACTATTATTTATGTTCCCAGATTAATTTCTGTCCGAATTTCTGGGAAAGATGCCTTTTATTTTTAAGTGAATAATTGCGGTGTCGCAATCTTTCGGAAACTGTAAAAATTAAGACCGCAATTCCACATTTATTATTATTATTATTATTATTATTATTATTATTAATGATCACATTTTCCCCCATTTTCGTGATACCTTTATTTTATTTTATTTTCGGTACTCGAATTTTTTTTTATTATTTCTCTTCACGTTAACATTTTTCAAAGGCCAGATGGCTGAACGTTTGAAAAATTCCTCAAGGCTTTCTCAAACTCCACGCCATTATCATTAATAATCTATTAGTTTAAGAAGACTTATTTTCAGGAAAATAATCTCATGTTTCTGATTTGGCCTTTGCATAAATCGTTTTCCTTCCTTTTCAAGTATTGCAATAGTAATGAACTAGACAAACACAATAACATATAAATTTGTAGCCTAATTTTCCCCGAGAAGAGTGTTGCATAATATCATCAACATCAGGGTGCCATTCAATCAACCTTATGCTCCACCTGGTAGCCTCTCTTCTTATTTTTACGCTTAATCGTTTCTATGTCTCTTTCTTTGTTTTTTTTATCCATTGTTGACCTATTTCTGCCTCTTGGAGCTATTGTTAGCATTGCACTTTCCTTTGCCATTTGTAAGTTTCTAAGTCTGTAGCACACACGCGCCTCCCCATATATATATATATATATATATATATATATATATATATATATATATATATATATATGATATATTTTATTTAAAAATATTTTACATTGCGACACGGAAATTTCTGTTTCGGAACTTAAATCTAAACCCTAAATTGTAAACCCGACTGTTCTTCCTCTTTATCTAGACACACACACACACACACACACACACACACACACACACACACACACACACACACACACATATATATATATATATATATATATAGAAAAATTCTAAATTCTAAAGCTAACCGTTCTTTCTTTTTTTTTTGTATATATATATATATATATATATATATATATATATATATATATATATGTTGGCCAGTTAATGAATTTTGAGGAATAAAAAGACAACAAAATAACAATATTGGCAATGAAACAAATACTAAATACGCGAACAGCACATTGCTTTCTAAGTATATCTGAGAAATTAAAAACAAAACGTACATCACACCAAAAATATCTTGGAAAATAAGGAAAAGATCATCAGCCTACAACAACCAATCCAAAACTTGCAAACTTCATTACCTTCCCAGACTAAAATAAATTATTAAATAAACGATCCGAGCTCATCTCGAATTGCAGACCTGAAAACAAATTTTCATTACATTACTTAAAAATCGAAAACTGAGAAAAAAAAAAATGAAATAAAAATTAAAATAAAATAAATAAACAAAATAACAATAAAATACGTAAAATAAATTAACCCAAACAAATTACCAAATCACACCCGTTAGAATAGACGAAATAGAATAAATAAAAAATAAAAAGCAAAATCAATGAACCCAAATAAATAAAGTAAATAATAAACAAATTAACAAACCAATATGGCCAAAATATTAGACTGCAAAAATCTGACCAAAAATCGGACGAAAAACATAGCTGTAAATGTTATATAACGATAAAAAAATACTACGTTAGTTAAAAATCGAAAACCGAAAAGAGTAAATAAAAATATACAGTATAATAAATAAATAATAAAAAACAAGTAAAATAAATTAATCTAAATTAATCAAAATAAGTAAATAAATAAACAAACAAACCGCTCCCGATAAATTAACCGTTGGAAAAAAACAAGTAAAGATAATCAAACTAAATGAATAAATACATATATAAATACATATACATTTGTAATAAACAAATTAAAATACATATATATTTGTAATAAACAAATTAAAAACTGCTCCCGCCAAAATAATAGTTAGAATAAACTACAGCAATCAATCCCAAAATAGCTAAAGAGGATAAAACAAGGAACATATTTATTGATTAAAGCCAACCACTAAAAACTAAAATTAGCATAAAACCTAACATACCATAAAACCACGTGATAAAAAAGGAGAAAAGAAAACTTTATTCCGATAACCAAAATTTCTTATATTTGCACCTGTTTGGAATTTCTTATATTTGCACCTGTTTAGAATTTCTTATATTTGCACCTGTTTAGAATTTCAGAACTTTGGTTTAGTAAAGTATTTGGTTTACTAAAAGTAGCTATCGCGAACTCCTCATCCATGCATAATAAACAATATTCCTTACCAGCTTTGTATTTGTCACATATTTTTTTTATTATTTCCCATTTTAAAATAGGGTCTATACAATCTTGGTTAATATTCTAAATAGCTCTTTCCTGGCGCTTCAGGAATATATATATATATATATATATATATATATATATATATATATATATATATATATATCAAAGTGTAGGAGAAGGAACAGTAGGGTTACAGCGTTCAAAATAATAATTTAAAAATAGTGCTCAATACACAAAGTAGAGCCATAAATATTTATTAGTTACATTAGAACATGCACATATCCACTACAAAAGTAGTTAGTTGTTAGTAACATCGTGATTTCCCACCTGATGAAACGTCTAAAAAAGGTTTTCCCCTTTTTGGACGTTGAAAAAAAATGTACAATTTTGTAATGGATATGTGCATGTTCTAATGTAACTGCATAATATATATATATATATATATATATATATATATATATATATATATATATATGGGGGAATATATAGAAAATAGGAAAGAATTCGTTAGGTAAATAATCCAAAGTTCTTTAGTATTTTTGTTATTATTTTTAGAAAAATAGTGCTCGATACAAAAGTAGAGCATAAATATAATTATTTATTTAAAAATATGATTCCGACACGCTACATAAGAGTTCTCATGTTTCAAAACAAGAGCCGAAAACTTCAATATAATTATTTGAATTAAATTGAATTAAAGTACATTAGAACTCTTATGTAGCGTGTTGAATCATATTTTTGAATAAATAATATATATATATATATATATATATATATATATATATATATATATATATATATATATATATATATATGTATATATATATTCATACCCACTGCTAAAAGAATTAAAACATACAGTTAATACAGACACATCCCCCTCTCAGCAACAAATAAAACTGTCAAAATGACCAAAAAGGGAATTCTGCGACTCATGAATCTCCCCAGTCTCTATCTTAAAAATAACTTGAAAGAGGGCGTTTGACCAACACCAGGACCTACCAAAATTAACAGTAAAAAAAAACAAATGAAAACTACAGATGAATGTCATTTTTCTTCATAAACAGTCATTCACTCCTGTAGTTCACTGCTATTAATAAGCAGAATTTTTTTTTCTCGTAAAGTTTCTTTTTTTCCTCCTGGTGATGGCCATACTGGTCGAAACTAGTCAAAGAACATAATTGAAATAATAAAACAAAAAATATTAATATACAAACCAGTGTGTCTGAAAACTTTAATTTTTTATATTTTTATTGTTCAATATATATATATATATATATATATATATGTGAAAAGTGAATATAAATATAAATAAATATATATATATGTATAATTATTTATATATTATATGCGCGGTACTTATTAGAAAGCGCTCATCGCTAAAGCGTGAAACCCAGGGTCACAAACTCACATCTATCCAACCAAATATATATATATATATATTGTTGAAACTTGATTAATGCATGGAATAATAATACAACACAAAATGTACTTAGAACAAAATGTATTGAAACAAGAAAGTGTACACAATATTTACATATAGTCTTTTGGTATATTCTTGGGAAGACTGTTCCTGTAGAATGGGTTGACTTAGTCGCAGTCAGGCAGAGTCTGTGGATTGGATCTCTTCTTCCTCCCCTGTCTTCCCGGTACCAACCATATTTATATGGTCGGTACTCCACTATGTAAATTAGGTGGATCCTACCACAACATATATATATATATATATATATATATATATATATATATATATATATAGGTGTATTTAGACAGCAAGAATTCACCGAACAAGTTTTTTATTAATGCCACCGACAAAGGCCTGTCTATTCAATTTTCTATTACGTCTTTCCAATTTTAGAATAAGACGTACATCGTTTTTAAAGTTATGAATAAATTGCCCAATGTATGTGTCTTTTTATTCTGTTATATTCCACTACTTTCAACAATCACAATCATTATCCAGAATAATATACTCATTATATATATATATATATTAGGTTGATGCAAAAATAATGACGTAATAATGTCGTTTTTTGACGTATTTTAACGTCAAAAAACGACATTAATACGTCATTATTTTTGCACCAACCTAATATATATATATATATATATATATATATATATATATATATATATATATATGTAAGATCACCTACATCCAACCAGCGTTGACAATAAAGAAAGTACAATCGTATGAAACAAAGGCACTGAAATATTCGAAATTTGATAGATGTGACGGGTAGGAAACAAAAGAAAATTCATTTTTTTTTTCTTTTTAAAGTAAAAGCTATAAAAAGGGCAAATTTATCCGTTAATAAATTGAATGAAAAAAAAAATCTTTCAGTACCAGACGCAGACTTCTATCTTGCAATCAATCGCACTTTGGCCAGTGATAGACGACAATCTCCCACCCAAATCTGTCAACGGGGACACTAGCGCCCTCTGGTGGAAGAGGGTTTGTCGCAAGAATGGTAACCCAGGCGATCCTCAGATTTTGTCGGGCGATAACGCTCAAACTGTGCGTGCGCTGGGGGATTAGGGTCCACAAATTTCTCTACTTTTGCGATTTAGGAAACTATGACTGCATCTCCGGCTCTTTCTGCAGGGGTAAAAAATTTGTGGTAGGGTCTTGGGTGTTGCCAGGTGAGGGAAGAGAAGTAAAAAGCCAGAGGAGAAGAGCATAGAATGTGGTGGGCAATTAGGGGGGGGGAGGTTGGCTTTCTTTTTGTTGTGGGAGGTCGCGCTTGATCTTCCGTGAAGATATTTCGAGAAAGCTTTAGAAAAGTATAATACCTTAGAATGAAGAAAAGAAAATGAAACATCCAAAGGGAAAAGAAGAGGTGGATATAAACGGAGAAGATTAAGAAAAGAAAACGAAAGAGAAATATTATGAAGAAGCAAGAGAAAAAAGAAAAGAAAAGGGAGAAGTAAAGAACAAAAAAAAAGGGAAAGAGAGAGAAAATAATATTAGAAGAGGAAAGAGTAAAGACGTATATGAGGATTATGAGAAGAAAAGAAGAGGAAAAACGAAAGAAATAATGAAGGCTGATTAAAAGATTAATGAAGAAAGATAAGCATCACTGACCCCGAAAAAAAAAAAGAAAAGGATTAAAAACGAAATAAAAACGTAATGGAAGAAGGAGGAAAAGAAGGAAGAGAAAAAAAAGGAAAAAGAGAGAAGATAAGTGTTGGAAGAATATGAAAAGAAAAGAGGAAAAGTGAAAGAAAAATAATCATTCCTTTTGAAAAAAAAAAAGAAAAGAAAAAAGAAGGCTAATAAATTGTATAATGAAGAAAGACAAGAACCCCTAACTCGAAAAAAAAATAAAATAAAGAAAAGCAAGGCGAAATAAATAAATAAAAAATTAATGGAAGAAAGCAGGAGGAAAAAAAAAGGAGATATAAAAGGCGGGAATATTCGAGTTGAGATAAGAAAATTAAAAGAAAAAAAATAGCGAAAGATAATAAGAAAAGAAAAAAAAAAAAGCAGAGAAGAAACTGAAAGGGAAACCAATTTTTGTTGGAAATAAACGAAAAAAAAAAAAATTTAGAAAGAAGGAGGCTGCAATATGTGAAGAAGTTTTCTAAAAGTGAAGAAAAAACGGAACGAAAAAGAAAAGCGTCATGTAAAAAAAAAAAAAGAAAAAGAAAAAATATAGAAAGAAAGAAAAAAATAAAGAAATAAATGGATAGGTATAAAATAAAAAGAAAGAATCAAAAAAAAAAAATATATATATATATACTGAAAAGAAAATTAATTGAAATATCAGCGAAATAATTCCAGTATAGATCAGATCTGGATCAGACTTGTATCTTAAAAGTTGGAGTGGATGATAAAAACTAGAAACGAGAAACAGCAAATCCAAGACAGAAGAATTTAGGGAAGAAAAAAACAAAAAGAGAAGAGAAAGAACGTAAAAATATAGAAAATGTCTGACACGTTTTTTTTTCTTTCTCTTTTTTGGTTTTTGTTGGAGAATTCTCCTTGCCACTCTGAGTGAGTTTGCGGCTTCCAGGGATTCAGCTCTGATGGAACACGAATAAGCCAGGTACAAACCCATCCCTTTCGAAAATGAAAGGAATAGAGAGATTGAGGTAGGTAGGGAACACGTCGGTATGTTTTAGTGGCTCAGTCGTTGCCACCGACGGTGTTTTTTGGTGGGCGTATGGCTGAAGGCGGGAAAAAAATATTCGCGCTGCGGCTACAGATTGCTGTCATTATTCAAGATGAAACGTGATAGGCACGTGACAAAAATGACGGAAGGGAAACCAACACGTCTATGTATGATTTCCAAAGTGCTTGAGAATGTATCTGTTTCGAGGATTGCATGCACTTTGCGTTAGTAAGTTAGGCTGCGTATGGGAGAAAATGCTGAGTTAACAAAAGAGCTAATAATATATGTTTTAGCGTTTCTTTCATTTTCGAAGAATTTTTTTCGCTCAATCAGGAGTAACTCAAGTTAGAGGGTGTTATATACCATACCTATGAATACTAATGGATATCTGCCAATCCTCATAAATACGTTGGATACTATTGTAAGTGATGGTAATATGGTGTCTAAGTAGTCCACCACTAGCAGTGGTTTACCTAGTTCACGCCGCTGGCGAGTATTGTATTTTGTTGATATTATAAAGATTACCATTTCATTTCCAACCTGTGTTTGGGTTATTCCTCATTCAGTAACCCTCTCAATTTACAAGAGAGGGTTACTCTTAAAATGGTTATGATGAATGAGGTGTGTGATATGAATAAAAGAATTATTAAGGAGTGAAGATTATGAGGATAAGGGGGATATATAACAATTGGCCTTTAAAGATGTTAAGATCGTAGTGTTTGAAATGACTGTTAAAATAAAAATGATGAAGGAGTTGTGTGATATGAATGAAATATGTGATAAGAAGTGAATATTATGAGGATAAGGAGGATAGATAATGAGTGACCCTTGACTTGAAGAGTCTAAGATTATAGTCTTTAGGGAATTGTACACGTAGGACTCTGTCCCACAATCTAGTAGTTCTAGAGGAAAAAAAAGTTGATGGAACTTCCTTTTTACACTTAGAATACGGAGGCAATGAGGGTGATTCAACTATGTGGTAGTAACATAGCGAGTCCTAGTTTTAAGTTTTGAAATAGTGGAACTAAAGAATGAAGCGTCCATCTAAACATTTGCAATGGAAACAATAATAAAGACGTTGCGACTGTAGAAAAGAGGCTGTTGAGTAATGAATACGTCTCCCCCCCACACACATACAAGGTCGCGTAAACAATTCTTAAAGGCTGGAAGGTAATAATTGATAGATTCTAAACAAGTTATATCAGCAATAACATATTTTTGGAAGAATTAAGGAAACGTGCGTAAATATTTGCAACCGTATGATTGTAAAATAAGTAGGCCTATGCATGGAGGCACGGTAAGAATATTGTATACAATGTAAATATCGCATGAATATGGCAATAAAGGAAGCACGGTGGAGCAATGGATAGCGGCTCGGATTGAGGAATCGGAGAGACGAGTTCGAATTCCAGTCGAATCCATTACATTCACTTACGTGCTAAAGGGAAGGTATGAATCTTCATTCTTCTCCCTCCAGTAAATAACAGGACAGATCGGGTTCTATAACCTTGGATGGCAACTGGTCTACCGCAAAAAGAAATGGCAACCTACTGCGGGAAAAAAATCCGACTCGTTCGATACACGATTCATTAGGCGATCATCGATCTTTCGATACATAATCGCCTAAGCGTGTATCACTGACTGACTGATTGCACATGCGCAAATATAAATAATACCTAAATTATGCTTTTTAATCTAAATGAAAAATAGATTAACTATTTTTATGTTGCTCTTATTTTATTAATTTCAATAATAATAATAATAAAAGTTATTCCTTAAGCCGCGGTTCAAATTAAAGTTACCGTATTTAATGGCATATAAGGCGCACTTTTTTTTTTTACTAAAAATATTTTTTAAAATTCCCTGCGTCTTTTATGCCGTATGTAGGTTTACTAAATTTACTAATTACTAATTTCTTCTTGATCTCCCCTGCTGAACACCTCTTATACACCTGTGCGCCTTATATACCGTCAAATGCGGTACACTATTGAAATTAAAGATAATTTTATTCACATTAAAGATACTTTTATTCAAATTATTGATACTTTTATTCAAATTAAAGATATCTAATTCAAATTAATATATATATATATATATATATATATATATATATATATATATATATATATATATATATACATACATATACATTACACACACACATACACATATATATATATATATATATATACATTTATTCAAATTAAAAATATTTTTATTTGAATTAAAGATAGTTTTATTCAAATTAAATATTATTTTTACTGAAATTATTGATACATTTATTCAAATTAAAGACTATTTTATTGAAATGAAAAATACATTTACTTTAATTAAAAGTATTTTTATTTGAATTAAAGATAATTTAATTCAAATTAAAGATAGTCTTATTTAAATTAAAAAATACTTTAATTGGATTAAAGATATTTTTATTCAAATAAAATGTACTTTATTCAGATTAAAGATACTTTTATTCAAATCAAAAATGCATTTATTTGAATTAAAGACACATTTATTGAAGTCAAAAATACTTTTATTTGAATTAAAATACTTTAGTTTTAATTAAAGTTATTTATATTCAAATCAAAAATGCTTTTATTAGAATTAAAATAGTTTAGTTTATTTGAATCAAAGATACTTTTATTTGAATTAAAGATTCTTTTGTTTGAATTTTAAGATACATTTATTTGAATTGAAAATACTTTTATTGAAATTACCGATACTTTAATTAGATTAAAGTACTTTTATTTAAATGAGACCATTATTTGAAATAAAAAGACACCTATTCATTGAACAGATTCGTTTATTTAGTATAAAGATATATTTATTCAAATTAAAGAAAACTTTTATTCAATTTAATGAAACCGTTATTCTTTATAATAAAGATGTGAATTCAAAATAACGAGGACATTATTGAATAGAAAATCACTTTTTTATGCATGTTTCAAAATGCGAATGTAGACAAATAACCAAAAAAATATTTTTACTGATACTAACTCTCATATAGGAAGAAAATGTTTAACTACAGACACCGAGGTTCGAACGAGAACTCTGGACTTATCAATATATGTTTTCTGCCAGGTGTATAAATAGCGGTGTCAGGCTACTGACTGCAGTGATTATTGAGTGGAACTATCCAGTCGAATTAGTGTGAATTATTGCGCGTCGATGATTTGGGTTTTGATTTAAGATTTACCAGACTTTAAGCCGAGCCGCGCTACTAATTCACTGAAATGGTTTTATTATCTTTGATTGACTTTTACTTTTGTGTTCTTGTTCAGTATTTATTTACTGTTATAATTAAATGCAGTTTTATTTAACGTTGAAGTCTTGAGTTATACTTAATTATTAACGGCCACCTTACGTCACAAAAATTCGTAAGTAAAAACTGTGTAAAAAAATTTAAAAAAATTAACCCAATGAATAAGATTTGTTAAAATCATTTGTTAGATCATTATAATAATAATAAAATACATAAAAGCAAAAAAAACAAAAAAAACAAAAAAAATCAGTGATATATGAAGAAAATGTGTATCTACCGACACCGAGGTTCGAACGTGACACTCTGGTCTTATGAATATATATTTCCGCCAGGTGTATAAATAGCGGTGTCAGGCTACTGACTGCAGTGATTTTTGAGTGACTATTGAGTGGAACTATCCAGTCGAATTAGTGTGAATTATTGTGCGTCGATGATTTGGGTTTGGATTTAGGATTTACCGCGCTACTAACAAGGTGTTCACTGAAATTGTTAATTATCTTTAATTGATTTTTACTTCTTTTTTCATGTTAAATATTTATTTGCGGTTCTAATTAAATACTGTTTTATCTTAACATTGAAGTCTGAAGTTATAATTAATTATTAACAGCCACCGTACGTCACAAAATTAATATATATGTGTTAAGATACCGATGCTTTAAATAAACGTCTTTCATAAATTTCTGTCATTGTGAGAATAAAACCATCGATATTCATGGAAAAATCCTTCAAACCCTGACTCAGCTTGTCCTTTCATTTTTCTGTATTGCATGAAATCGTTGAAAGAACCGCCTCATATGGGATGGAATTCAACACAGAGAAATCCAAGGAAATGGTGGATAGCACAAGCAACACCAGTGCTAGTGTTACCACGAAAGGCAAAATACTGGACGAAGTTTCCAGGTTCAAATACTTAGGAGCAACCCTGTCAAAAGATGGCACCTACAAAGCAACACAGACCACAGCATAGCCAGACTGGAAAGGATATGGAAGAGCAACATCAGCTTCCATCCCAAGTCCAAGCTCTACAAGTGGCTGCTCGTATCCATCCTTCAGAGAAAAGGATCTTTTGTAGTTAGCACAAAACCAATGACTATGAACAGGGAAAGGTCAAAAGTCTCGTGTGCGGACCGGAATGTCTTCTCGCCAGATGTCAGAAGATATCATAGTTTGGCTAAGTCACACGGCATAACAGCCTCTGCGAGACCATCATACCAGGCAGTGTTGAGGTCGGACGCAAGCGGGGACGGTAACGCAAGTGCTGGCCGGACAACATCAAAGAGTGGATGGATATGACAATACCGGAACTCCTGAGAGGAAGTTGCCAGCTTCAGATACTTGGGTGCAACCCTGTGAAATGATGGCACCTGAAACGCAGAAATCCGATATACGGATGGCCAGACTGGAAAGAATGTGAAAGTGCATCATCAGCTTCCATATCAAGTTCTACAAATCACTGGTCATATCCATCCTTTCCTACGAGTTTGAGATTTGGACCCCTTCTGTTTGAGGCGGAACAAATGCTCCTTTGCATATCCTACTGGTATCACAGAACCAATGACTATGTACGGAACAAGGTCAAATGTCTCGAGGGCCGACAGGAATCTCTTCTTGCCACTATTAAGCGTCGGAAGATGTCATGGTTTGGTTACGTCACAAGGCACGACAGCCCCTGCGAGACCAACAGGCAAGGAACTGTTGAAGGCGCACAACATCATCACAGTACAGGAAGTCCTGAGAGGAAGTCCATTTGAGAATATTTACTAACACACACACATATATGTGTGTGTTTGTACGTATATATATATGTACACATGTATGTACACACATATATATATATGTATACAC